TCCGCGCCGCGCGTCATGCGCCCCGCTCCTCCCTCGGCCCCGCCCCCGGCTGCAAGGGTCTCAGTGCCGCCGGCGCCTCCGGGTTTCTAAGCCACAGGCTCCGCACGCCCCGCAGGGGTCCCCAGCCACCTCCCAGCTTCCCCCACCCATAGCCTTAGAGTCACAGCGTACGCGGGGTTCTGCATCTAAAGCTCGGTCCCCAGTTGCGAAGGTGAGACAAGCCTCGGGACCTAAGAAAAGCCCTGAGGTCGCCGGAAATGCGGTTCCCGCGGAGGCGTGGGGCAGCCCTGGCCAGGTCTGCCCTCCATCCCCACTCCCACCTGCAGCCTGGTACCGGCCGCTGCATCTCCCGGTTGGGTGCCAGATAAAGTAGGGGGCTTGCCTTGGGAAACGTATTTTTGGAGAAATATGGTACGGTCTTATAGCTGAGCAATCACAGTTACCCTCGGGAAAGTGCGCGCTTGCAGCCCTACCGACAGGGCTGTCTAGGAGGTTTGAGGTTTGCTGACACCCTGCCCCAAATCAATGACACCCCGGTTCGGGCACTTTCCTGAGGACTGAGTAGTGCCTCACAGTCTACAAAGGCGTTCACAGACTGCTGTAGTCTGCAGCAGTCCCAGGAAGCCTTCGCATTCCACTCAGGTAGAACGAAGCTCAGTGATTTGCCCAAGAGAAACACGTGAGCTGAGAGTGCCTGGCACACTGCTATGCCCTTTAACCCACACTACTGTTGGATCCTCACTCAACCATTTTACAAATGAATAAACAGACCTTGAGGGACCACTGGGTCCTCCTGGGGTCACACTACTGGTAAGGAGAGAAGAGGGGGCGATGAGGCGGGGAGGACATCTTCCAGACAGCCTGGGAAAACGTAGAGAGCTCCTTCTATTGAGCTTACATCCTTTCCCCCACAGGCCTGGGAGGTAGAGCCTTTCCCTTGCTCCTCTCTGAGGACACTGCTAGAGCTGGAACTGGTAGCTAGGATTCTCTGGAATGCTGTGGGTATGGGCTCCTAAATCCATGCCGGTGCTCATCCCCTGGATCCTAGGGCCCTCCCTGTACACCTAGTCAGTGCCAGGAATGCAGCTCCTGCGGACACCAGGAACCAAATCCCGGCTTGACCTGAGGGTTTAGAGGAGATTCATGCTGAGGACGAGGATGGTGATGAAGGCTCTGCACTGTCTGAACCCTTATTGCAGCCTGGCCAGCATTGACAAAACAGGTGGAATTCACCTGTTTTTACAGAAGAAGAGACAAAGGTCTGGAGAGTTCAGTAACTCATTGTCTTATCTCTGTGCAGATGAGAGCTGGGCACATCCTTAGCACTTCTCCCTCTGCCCTACCTACCATTGGTCCTTCGCTCCTCACATATTCTAGCCCAATGTTCCCTGAGTAAAAAGCCACATTGAAACATCAGGAGCTTGGAAACAAAGATGCATCCATAGCAGCTTTAACACACAAGGAAGCTTCCGCATATGGCTAGTCAGAAACTGAGGAACAGAGAAAGATAAACACTAAATGTGGAATCTAAAAAAAAAAAACAAAACAAAACCAACAACAACAAAAAACCACACAGCAAACAAACTCATAGAAAAAGAGATCAGATTTGTGGCTACCAGATGGGGGATGGGGGAGGGGGAATTGGAGTAAGGTGGTCAAAAAGTACAAACATCCTGTTATTGGATACATAAGTACTAAGGATATAATGTACAACAGGATGTCTACAGCTAAATAACTGCTGTATGGAATATAGGAAAGCTGTTAAATCCTAAGTTGTTATCACAAGGAAACAATTTTTTTTTTTTGCTTTTTATTGTATCTATATGAGATGATGGATGCTAACTAAACTTACTGAGGTAATTATTTCACAATATACATAAGTCAAACAATTGTATATCTTAAACTTATAGAATGATGTATGTAAATCATATGTCAATAAAACTGAGGGAAAAAAATGAAGAATAGCCAAGACGCTCCTGTTACAGAGTCAGATTATGTCCTTTCTTGATTCAAAACATTCCAGTGGCTCCCACCTGACTACAACCTGTAATGCCCTGCAGGATCTGGCCCCCATTACTTCTCTGACCTTATCCTTTCCTCTTCTCCCCCTTGCTCACATTATTCCAGCCTCACTGGCCACCTTGTGATTCCTTCAACACACCAGGTACGCAATCCCACCTCAGGGCCTTTGGACTCATTGTTCCTGCTGCCCTCTGAGGATCCTAACAGACCTGTATAATCTCTTCCCCCACATATTACATGGCTCTATCACCTCCTTCAGGGTTTTATTTTATAGTTACTATTAAAATTTATGACAGAGACCTTATCCTGGAGAGCAGTCAAGAGGGGCTGTGAGAGGAGCTATCACACCTATGTCATCGTGAGAGCCCTACAGGAAGAACTCTATATTTATAACAGAGCTCTGTGGTTGTAACAGCCCCTCCCCTTACCTTTCTAATCCCTTCTGTAAAGTACTTCCTCCATCTTTGTACACATGGCTCATCATGTCTGCATGTACCTGATTGCAATCCTTTCTTTTTCCTGAATAAATCCTTTTAGTGACGGAATACCTAGTCAACTTTTGTTTCATGGTCAACATTTTTGGGGCCCCTCTGGTATCCAGAGAAGTAACCCCGACAGCTTTAGGGCAGGCGAGCAACCAGCAGCTGGTACACCACAGAGTCCACTGTGGGCTCACTGCTCTCTGGCTTGGAGGCTTAGGCTCGTTCTTCTGGAACCCAGCTATTGATTTTGCATTCTGAAGCTCTCCGGGCTTTGTTCTGGAACTATTTAGGGGACTTTTTGTTGTTGCTGTTGTTGTTAAAGGACCTTGCTTGTTTGTTTGTGTGTTTGTGAGCTCAGCTGACACTTTGGCCTGACTACCCCAAGGCACTAGGCTACTTCACCTAGCTGCACTAGCTTCCTGACAGATTGTATCTGGAACCGGGTTATTTCCATGAAAACTGAGGCTAGGCTTTGGTCTGATTCTGGAACCAGACTGCTCCATTGGAAGCTGTGTCTCATCAGCCTTTGACTTTTCTTTCTTGAGATCTGGCTATCCTACTGGAACTGGCTTTTTAACTTTGGCCTGACCCCTCTGTGATCAGGCTGTTCTAGAATGAGACTGGCTGGTATCTAACCTGCAGGTTGCTCAAGCTATTTAGGCCGTTTTGGGCCCTTGCTCTAGAGAAAATTCTCTAAAAAATGGGATCTCAGTTATCTAAATATTTCAAGACTGTCCCTCCTTCAGGGACTCCAGTTGAAATCATGTTTAAAAGCCACAGTCACTCTTCATGTGCATATTTAACTAAATGGGCAGATCCGATTGACAGTAATTCAGAATATCAACGGCCACCATGGGGAACTTTTGAAATTCCCAATCTTACTTTTCTTAAAATCTAATTGGACAATATTAGTACTGAAACTGGCAAAGAGGAATAGAATGCCTATTTTGAGTGGTATTTTGAGGCTCCCAAATGGTACTAAGAATCTGAAGTTGCCTCTTCGCAAAATAAAGTTTTAGAATTAACTGAGGCTACTGAACTTTTAAAGGGAGAAAAGATGGCTTGTGAAGCTTCATTATCTTCACCTCCAGTGCTGTCTTACCTTTCCCCCTCAACTTTGTTTTAATCTCAGAAGCCACATGGCTTTCCACTATCTGGCTTCCTTGCCTCATCTTTGGTGCCATCTTCCTCTGAACTTTCACTTCCTTCTCCTCCGAACATATCAGTATCTGTCCCTTTAAAGTTAAGCCCTCTGAGGATCTAACAGACCTCAAGTTTTATATATCCTCCCTGGACTAAAGCTGAATTATAAACCATACTTAAAGAATTCTCTAAGGTAACTGAGGATCCTCACACATTTGCTGCCGAGTTTGATATAGTTATTCAGACCTATCAGCCTGGGCTTTCTGATCTATAGCAGCTAATTTATATGCCAGTTGCTGAAGGCCAGCCACGACATTGGTAGAGAATTACCCAACGAGAACATCCCAGGAGGGATTTAGACAAACCTCTAATTTTTGGAAAGAAGCTAGAGGACTTCTCGAGAACTTCCCTGAGCAATTACAGAAGCTTTTCCAAAGCCTGTTGATTGGAGTGAAATTCAGACTTGCTCACAAAAGTCTGAGAAATCTGTTCACGACTATTATAATTGACTTCAGGTTGTGTGTTAGGAAAATTCTGGTCTTCTTTCAGATTCGATTACACCGAAGTAACCTTCAATAAACCTTTGTTGATTAATGGACTGAACCAAGCTCTTTACCTTTTAGTTAAAAGGACCAGGATGAAGTGGTAAACCATGTCCACCCCAGATTTGGTTAATTTGGCCAATCAGCTTGCTTGTGCTCTACACGAGCTGCTTAGAAGATTGGCAGGATATTGAATTTCCAGCCCTGACAAATGAAGGTCCCTCCCTATACAAAATCAAATGTCTCCTAGCTTCTGCTATCATTGCAAAGAGCAAGAACATTAGGAAAGGGAGTGTCACAAATTTCAGCGCTTCAGGCACCCCTCAGCCTTTTCACCAGCCTTCCCGAGGTCTCCTAATCCCCAATGACAGGCTCCATGGAACTACAGGGGCTTTTCCCAATTCGTCCCTCTTAATTAGTTTGGAGAAATTTTTCTTCAAATTGGTGATGACTCTCTCAATGTCCTTATGACACTAGCACCTGCCGTGGAGTACTAAAACAGTTCAAATAGTATGGATTTCAAATAAACCTCAGCAAGTTCCTGTCTTCGAACCTATCCTTTTTTGCTTAGGC